GATCTATTTAAAAGCCTATCAACAAGCCATTATTACTGGCATGAAGGCAGGTGGAAAAAAGGGTATTAATATGTCAAGGACGGCTGAAGTGTTACAGAAAGCCGATGAATCACCCAGTGCCTTTTATGAGAGACTGCTTGAGTCATATAGATTGTATACCCCTTTTAATCCTGAAGCTCCTGAAAATTATAGCAAGATTAATTCAGCATATGTCAGCCAGGCCCAGAATGTTATTAAAAGGAAGTTGCAAAAGTTAGAGGGATTTGCAGGGATGTCCATAACGCAGCTAATGGAGATTGTGAACAGTGTATATATGAATATGGAAGCTGAAACGAAGCATGAGGAGATGTTAGCGGTTGCTATTACAGGTGTGGGTAGACAAGGAGGGGAAATGGATAGAGGAGGTTAGACTAGGATAAGCAGGCTATCATTAGGCAGAAACCAATGTGCGTATTGTAGTGAGGAAGGACATTGGAAAGGTGAATGCCCACAGAGGGGATATATAGCAGGTGGTAGACAAGATGAGAGAAGGGGGCGAAGTGGTTACAGTGGTGGCTATAGAGCAAGAGTAAGTTTTGGAGGGAGCAATAGTAATAACAGAGGGGGTGTTCAGGAAGGTAGATATTACCCCCCTACTCAGAGATCAAGGGATAGGGACGACAGGGGCTTTGTGGGTCTGGCTGACACAGTCATGGAGGACTACTCCATCCCCCTTGGCCGAGCGGAGCCTATGGTCGAAGTAATAATAGGGGGAAAAAGAAGTCCCTTCATGATTGACACGGGTGCTGAATATTCTGTTGTGACCATTGGTAGCTCCTCAATCTGGAAAGACTGTAACTGTAGTAGGAGCTACTGGGAAAGGCGCTGTTAGACAGGTGCTCAGGAGTCGTACTTGCATACTAGGAGGCCATTTTGTTAAGCACCAGTTCCTATATATGCCAGAGTGTCCAATTCAACTCCTAGGATGAGATCTATTGTCAAAGCTTCAAGCACAGATAACATTTCTACCCAATGGATCAACGTCCCTGCAGTTTAATAAATCACCTGGCATGTTAGCCGTACTGGTTCCAAAAGAAGAAGAATGGCGTCTCTATTCTACAATGATAAATATAAACCCAAAGAGTGATGGATCATTATTTGACATTCCAGGAGTATGGGCAGAAAATAATCCCCTGGGACTTGCCCATAATATTCCACCTATACACATCGAATTAAAGCTTGGGGTGTCTCCTGTTAGCCTTCGTCAGTACCACATACCACAGAAAGCTAAGAAAACCATACAGACATACTTGGATAAGTTTGTGAAGTATGGCATCCTGAAATTCTGTACCTCCCCTTGGAACACTCCATTTTTACCTGTTCAGAAGCCAGTATCTGATGAGTATCGTCCTGTACAAGATTTAAGAGCAGTTAATGATGCAGTAGTTAACATACACCCAGTGGTACCCAACCCCTATAATCTGCTTGCCCTAATTCCAGGTGGGGCAACTTACTACACAGTCTTGGATCTCAAAGAGATCCAATGGGAAGACACTGTTACGGGATCAAAATGTCAGATGACCTGGACCAGGTTACCACAAGGGTTTAAGAATTCACCTACTCTATTTGGATCTGCACTAAGTCAAGATTTGCAAGATTTCAAATCCATTCCAGGGAAATGTGTATTACTCCAGTACATGGATGATCTCTTAATAGCTTCAGTCACTAAAGAGATTTGTTAACAAGCAACTCATGATCTTCTTCAAAATTTATTGAAGGCAGGAAGGGGCGGAGCCTGGCAGCGCAACTGAATAGACGCCATTTTCATAGCTCCGAGCGCTGATCAGCCTAATCTCTAAAATATCACCTGCATCCGAGCCAAACCGCCTGCACAGAGGGCAGAGTTCGACGGAGCTAACCGCCCTGAATCTGCCGATGCCTTTTTTACACACCCCGGGCAAGAAATACCAGACCCGCGGCACCAAGGCCTACCGCGTCATCAAACACTCCCCGGCAGCATACGGAGGCCCACTAGACTGGGACGACGTCGACCTTCTACCTTGGCTAACAGGTAATATGGGGAGGAAAACCCCGAAACCGCCTGCTCCCATGCCCAAGACACAGCAAAACATAAGTCAAATGCTGCAATACACGGCGCCAGCGACAATTTCACCGGCGCAGGAGGCCTCACTTACCCGGGAGCCTTCATTCGCACGAGACAGCGACGAGACCGCGCATCAAAGCCTGAAGCCGATACAAAGAGAACCACCCAGCCCAAAGGAGACAGAAGCTCCGGCTACAAAACGGGAGCTTAGAGAAATGCTCACCGGTCTCCAAAATAACCTTAGGGCAATGTGGGAGGCGGACCTGGCAGCTCTCACGACCGAAGTACAGGCCGTGAAAAGGCGCACACAGACAACTGAAAGGAATGTGACAGACCTGCAACAAGGCCTCAAAGAACTGAGCGATAAAGTACAAGGTATCCAGACTACACAAGCTGAAACAAACAAGCAGGTGCTCATCCTGGATGACAGGGGCAGAAGAAAGAACATAAAGGTGAGGGGAGTATCAGAAACTATACCCCTAGAAGAATTACCGCACTTCATTAGAAGGCTAGTGTCGGCACTACTATCAACAAGAGAGGCTAAATACCTCTCCTTTGATGGGGCATACCGAATATCCAAATCCCCAAGAGCCCCTGCAACCGCACCACGAGACATTATTCTCAGGTGTCAAACAATGTCCAACAAATTAAGCCTGCTAGCAGCGATAAAAGGGAAGACGCCATACGAATTTGAGAACTGTAAAATCTCGTTCTTCCAAGACCTAAGCAGGGCTACGCTACAGTGGCGGAAAACCATGCAGCCCCTCACGCAGATCTTGCAGAAAGCGGGCCTGACCTACAGATGGGCGACACCGCACACCCTATGGATCACTAAAGAAGGAAAGTTCTACAAAGCTACGGACCCAGCAGACATTCCCGCAATACTGGCAGCACTGGACTTACAACCACAACGGGGCCTCGAACACGCATCACCGGACACACAACCTCTACTGGACACTGACTCAGATACGTCTTCATCCGACATTAGAAGAGACAGGAGGCCAAAGACTTGAATTAATCAACACACCTGAGTACCTCAAGTTATAGGGACATTCGAGAGACTTTCCTAGCTATGCCATGACTTTTATTTTTTTTTTTATTTTTTTTTTTGTTGTTGTTCTGTTTCTGTTTATGCAAATCAACACACAAATTCTTAGCTGCGCACAGAGATTCAAGGGCACACACAGCGCCCACAGCACGCCCAGGGACTTTCTCCCCCCCCCTCCCTATCACACCCAACATGCCAGAGAGACACGACAAGGGGACAAGGGACCACACAAGGAAGAGGGCCACACACTAAAACTAGGGTCAAGAGCAACTATCACATAGGAACCAATGCGCCTCAGATCCATAAGCACCCAAGAGAAACAAACTCGCAAACCTCACTGGCATATATACTACGAGACGTCACACATAGCGGGAGTTTAACAACCCATACACTGACTAACTCGTTACAACTCAACAGACTACCACACTATTAAAAATGTGCAACATGATACCCAGCCAATGTCTTCATATGTGATATGTACACCTGTGCCAGACTAGATAGTAAAACTTATGTATCAAGACTTGAACGCAAAATGTATGTATGATACATGCTAACATGCACCAAAAATAAAGAATTATAAAAAAAAAAAAATGTATTGAAGGCAGGATGCAAGGTATCTAGGAAGAAGGCACAACTGTGTCAGTCAACTGTCAAATATTTAGGATTCCATATCTCAGAAGGTCAAAGAACAATGGGGCCTGAGAGAAAAGAAGCTGTATGTCGTAAACCCATACCAATGAATGGAAGACAAGTTCGAGAATTCTTGGGAGCAGCAGGATTCTGTAGGATATGGATTCCTAATTATGCGATACTGGCAAAACCTTTGTTTGAAGCTGTGAAAGGCATGGAACATGATCCTTTCCTATGGACTACAGAGCAACAGAAGTCATTTGAGGAAGTTAAGAAAGCACTTATGAGTGCCCCAGCCCTAGGCCTACCAGACCATACACACCCTTTCTTTCTGTATGTACATGAGCAACGGAAAATTGCTGTGGGAGTGTTGACACAATACTTGGGATTGTGGCAACGACCTGTAGCATACATGTCTAAACAGCTGGATGCGGTGGCTAGTGGTCTTCCGCCTTGTTTACGAGCAGTGGCTGCTTCAGCTTTGTTGGTAGCTGAGGCCGATAAACTTACATTGGGTCAGGAACTCATGCAGTACAGACTCTATTGGATTACAAAGGTAACTATTGGTTCAGCAATAGCAGAATGACTAAGTATCAGGCTATGTTATGTGAGAATCCAAGAGTACATCACCTGATCTCCAAGATTTCCCAATCCAGAATCCGGATATACAATACTACACGGATGGTAGTAGTTTTGTTAAAGAAGGAATTTGTTATGCGGGTTATGCAATGACCACCATAGACAAGGTGATAGAAGCACGACCATTGTCAAAAGGAACATCAGCGCAAAAAGCGGAATTAATTGCACTAACAAGGGCCTTGCAACTATCTGAGGGGCTGAGAGTGAATATTTATACTGACTCAAGATATGCCTTCCTAACAACTCAAGTCCATGGAGCATTATATAAGGAAAGAGGACTCCTGAATTCAGAGGGGAAAGAAATCATGTATGCAGTGGAAATACTTCAACTGTTGGAGGCAGTATGGGAGCCGAAGGAAGTCAGTATTATACATTGCAGAGCACATCTGAAAGGTGATAGGGATATAGTACGAGGAAATCATATGGCAAATAGTGCTGCAAAATAAGCTGCAGAATCGAGACAGGAAGATAACATGAGTTATGTTACTGCTCTTATACCAGCCCCATTGTCTCAATGGACTCCAGTGTATAACACTCAAGAGAAGGAGTGTCTGAAAACTGAACCTGGTAAGTTTTTGAGAGAATAATTGGCATCAGTTAGAAGATGGAAGAATAGTTATTCCTGCATCTTTGGCTATAGAAATTGTTCAGAACTTCCATAGTGGTACACATTCGGGAAGAGATAGTATGGAAGAATCTCTCAGCAAATATTTCTATATACCAGTACTATATAATCTTACCCAAGCTATTGTCAGAAGATGTGTACAGTGCGCTCGAAACAACGCAAGACAAGGCCATGTTAAGCCTCCTGGAGTTCAGTATATGAGTGGACTTCCCATGTCAGACTTACAAGTAGACTACACAGTAATGCCTAAATCTGGACGATATCGTTACCTGCTGGTTTTGGTATGTACTCTGGTTGGGTGGAGGCCTGTCCAACCCGTACAGAAAAAGCAGGAGAAGTTGTTCGGTTTCTGCTACAGGAAGTTATACCTAGATATGGACTTCCGTGTTCTATAGGGTATGATAATGGTCCAGCTTTCGTTCATCAGTGTCTGCAACAACTGACCCATGTACTTGGTATTAAGTGGAAACTACATACGGCTTATAGACCTCAGAGTTCTGGAAAGGTGGGAAGAATAACAGAACAATAAAGACTCAGCTAAAATGTGCCAGGAAACCCAGCTTAAATGGAATGTTATTTTGTCAGTAGCATTGTGGCGCATTCGTAGTACTCCCACTAGAAGGATGGGTCTTTCCCCATTCGAAATTATGTATGGGCGCCCACCTCCCATACTAAGCAATTTACAAGGAGATTTATGTCAGCTGGGCGATGGAATTACTCGGCAGCAGGTTGTGGAGCTGGGTAAAACTATCGAGGCAGTACAGAAATGGCTGCAAGATAGCCTGTGAATATATATCCACCTGTCCATTCTTATCATCCGGGTTACAAAGTATGGATAAAAGAATGGAATACTGGAGAGGTCCTTATACTGTTCTTTTGTCTACCCCAACAGCTGTAAAGGTGGCAGAGTTGACTCCTTGGATTCATCATTCTAGGGTTAAACCAGCGGCAGATTCATGGCAAGTTACTTCAGATTCTGAGAATCCTTGTAAGATCCGGTTGAAGCGAATGACCCAGTCCCTGAATTTGGATTGAACATGACTTGAGGAAGTACGAGGCGATATTTGAAGCATCGTGGTTGGGAACAATATTGGAAAGCAGCAAGGAGGTGTTTTGACGGCTATAATAAAGCCTGAACACCTGCCTACTTTACATAGTCAGAGTCTCTCGTAGGGACCTCTGTGAAGGGAAGAGAGGATCAGACGGACAACAATCCTTGCAGCCCTCACAAGCGGGAAGCTGAGGTGCCGTCGCACGGTCCAAAAAGAGGATGAAGACTTCAATTGTAATGTGCTTCCTTGTGTGTTTTAATGTTTTTATAATATATTAGGAATGTAAAGGTGAGGAAATGCGGAGCTGTGTTAGTTGTATTAAGACTACTAAAACAGGTAGAAAGAACTATTCTGGTGTACCTAGTGTAACACACAGGAAAAAGGGAAACAGACTAGCACTAAGCTGCTCAAACTGGGAGGAGTAGGGATTCACTAAAAACCTATAAAAAAGACAAATAAGAAATCACCTTAAGAATAAAGTGAAGTGAACTCCAGGAGCTGGCTAGTGACTAATGGCTAAAAATGCGGTAAAACCTAATAGGTATACAAGCAGTGAGTGATTACTGTGCCTTCGATATTAGACATAAAAATGTGGAGAATAAGAAAAAAGTACCGTATTTATCGGCGTATAACACGCACCGGCGTATAACACGCACCTCATTTTAAGAAGGAAATTTCAGGGAAAAAAAACTTAAAGGACCACTATAGTGCCAGGAAAACGAGTATGTTTTCCTGGCACTATAGTGGTCCTTTAAGTTTTTTTCCCCTGAAATTTCCTTCTTAAAATGAGGTGCGTGTTATACACCCTCAGGGACCCCCTCCCGCCGGGCTCTGGAGAAAGGAAGGGGTTAAACACTTACCTTTCTCCAGCGCCGGGCGGGGAGCTGTACTCCTCCTCTCCTCCTTGCTCGCGACGTCATCGGCTGAATGCACACGCGCGGCAGGAGCTTTCCTATGGACGCTTGCGTGCTCTCACTGTGATTTTCACAGTGAGAAGCACGCAAGCGCCTCTAGCGGCTGTCAATGAGACAGCCACTAGAGGCTCTGGAGGCTGGATTAACCCTCAGTATAAACATAGCAGTTTCTCTGAAACTGCTATGTTTATAAAAAAAAGGGTTAATCCTAGAGGGACCTGGCACCCAGACCACTTCATTAAGCTGAAGTGGTCTGGGTGCCTAGAGTGGTCCTTTAAATTTCAAATAAGAACAACACCCCCTGACTCCCCCTCCCCCTCTTACCCCCCTTTCTTACTCCCCCCTCCCCCTCTTCTTACTCCCCTCCTCTTCCTCCCCCTCCCCTCCTTCTTACTCCCCCTCCTCTTTTTACCCCCTTTTCTTACTCCCCCCTCCCCTCTTCTTACTTCCCCTCCCCTCTTACCCCTTTCTTACTCCCTCTTCTTACTCCCCCCTCTTCTTACCCCCTTTCCCCCTTTCTTACTCCCCTCCCCCCTTACCCACCCTCCCCTCTTCTTACCTCCCTCCCCCCTCTCTTATTCCCCACTCCCCCGTAGCGTGGCCGAGCCGCTCTGCCGTCCGCGGTGGCCGGCCGGAGTGATAGGAAGGTGCACGCTCAGTGTGCACCTTCCTGTCAGTCCGACCGGGTACAGGAAACAGAAACTCCTGTTCCGCGTGGAACAGGAGTTTCTGTTTCCTGTACCCGGTCGGACTGACAGGAAGGTGCACACTGAGCGTGCACCTTCCTATCAGTCCGGCCGGCCACCGCGGACTGTAGAGCGGCTCGGCCACGCTACAGGGAAGGTGAGTACCAACTGCAGCCGCCTGAGCGCTCTTAACAGAGCGCTCAGGCGGCTGCAGAATTTAAAGGGCCGGCGTATAACACGCACCCACGATTTCTCCCCTATTTTCAGGGAGAAAAAGTGCGTGTTATACGCCGATAAATACGGTAAATAAATATAGGAAAAAATAAGTAAAAAATAATAAATATAATGAAAAAATGAAAAATGGGTGCTGTGCCTTTAAAATATTGTGGTGAAGAATATAAAGTAAGTGATAGGAGAGAAGAAAGGGTGGGTAAAAATAAGGTATATGTCTTGAATAATTAAAATAATTAAAATAATAAATAATAAAGAGACAGATATGTATAAAAGTAAACCACAAAATAATAGAATAAACCCCTTGGAAGAAAAAGTGCAACACAGGTATCTCGATCCCTAATGAAATGGGGGGTAGATGATACCTATTTCAAAATGATATACTTTGTAGTATCAAAGATAAAAAGTAACAATATCAAGTTGCTAAGGGTTACAGTATGTGGAACTGCAAGCTTGGATACTCTGTATAATAGATTGTGATGAACTGAAGCAAGATAAAACTGGAGAGGTTAGCAAAAAAAGTCCAGTTTATTAAACATTAAAAATATATAAAAGATAATAAAAATATAAGTAGAAAACTGTTCATAAGTGCATTACCAGGCTCTATTATATCAAATGCCAGCAAGGACCCTTGGATTATAGGAGGATGGATCTGCATACTGTTGGTAAGTTGTTGGTATTCCAGCTGCCGGTGAGGACGGCGTGATGCTGAGTGCACGTTCCGAACAGAAGCCTCACTCCCGGGGACGTGCAAAACAGGCGATGCTGGTTGCTGCTATTACCAAAGGTCCTGCTTGGAAAGTGGAACTGCTGCTGGTGAATGCGATCGGTGTCTTGCTTTTGCAAACTGCCTAATGCGTTTCGTAGGAGGTGCGCCCTACTTCATCAGAGACATGCTATCGTACATTGCTTCAGACATGTATTAAATACCCTTAGGGTTAATTATCAATAAAACAATTGTACATTTGTAAAGTTATATATCAGATGTTACAAATGAAGAATATACATGAGTACAATAAATCAAAGTGATCATTTTGTACAATTATTTGTTATTTTAGACATTTGCATTTAAAATATTTGCATAAAATGATAGACTGATGGTTCAAATTAACCATACATGTGCCAAAAGAGATATTGAATGACGAGAAGTATATCACAAAGCATTGTGTGTAATATTAGAATAAGGATTCGTTCTCACATTAAGTATATGTGTAATAGTGTACAGTATCCAGATCCATCCTCCCATAATCCGAGGGTCCTTGCTGGCATTTGATATAATAGAGCCTGGTAATGCACTTATGAACAGTTTTCTACTTATATTTTTATTATCTTTTATATATTTTTAATGTTTAATAAACTGGACTTTTTTTGTTAACCTATCCAGTTTTATCTTGCTTCAGTTCATCACAATCTATTATACAGAGTATCCAAGCTTGCAGTTCCACATACTGTAACGCTTAGCAACTTGATATTGTTACTTTTTATCTTTGATACTACAAAGTATATCATTTTGAAATAGGTATCATCTACCCCCCATTTCATTGGGGATCGAGATACCTGTGTTGCACATTTTCCTCCAAGTGGTTTATTCTATTATTTTGTGGTTTACTTTTATACATATCTGTCTCTATTTATTATTTTAATTATTCAAGACATATACCTTATTTTTGCCCACCCTTTCTTCTCTCCTATCACCCACTTTATATTCTTCACCACAATATTTTAAAGGCACAGCACCCATTTTTCATTTTCTCATTATATTTATTTATTTTTTACTTATTTTTTCCTATATTTATTAACTTTTTTCTTATTCTCCACATTTTTATGTCTTATATCGAAGGCACAGTAATCACTCACTGCTTTTATACCTATTAGGTTTTACCACATTTTTAGCCATTAGTCACTAGCCAGCTCCTGGAGTTCACACACTTTATTCTTAAGGTGATTTCTTATTTTACTTAAACCGGTAGTCAGATATCTCAAACCCTTATTTGGCACTCGCAGTACGAATGTAAAGGATCTGTGTCTTGGTGTAGGTACTGTGATCCTTGTTTGCAGATAGCACGGTCCTCTAGGGTAAACAACAAGCACAGTCTTTTCATATTATCCAGGCAATTTTATTGGCAAGCCCACACAGCAACACAACTAAAACATAAATATAACAGGTTTCCCCTTTAAACAAAAACCTAGCTCGTCTGAGCACTGACTCACTTTTAATATCCCCTTTAATATCCCTCTCTATCAGGACTAAACTAACAAAAACATATTGTTGGGTTGCACCAACCTTATTAGATAGCAACACTCTGCTCTCCTTTCTGCACTCCAGTGCTCTCAGCTAGCATGCTGCTTTCCTTTCTGCACTCCCAGTGCTCCAAGCCCGTCTTAATTGCTTTTCTTTCTGTACTCCCAGTGCTCCAAGCCAGCCTTCTGCACTCCCAGTGCTCCAAGACAGCCTTAACTGCTTTCCTTTCTGCACTCCCAGTGCCCAGTCTCCTTGACTCTCTCACAGGAGAGAACAGTGTCTCTCCTAACTGCTTCCAGGGAGGAAGCCAGCAATCCCTCTTTATCTGCCTAGCAGGGAGGGGTTTATTCCCACTGCTGCAGCTGATTATCTGCAGCTGAGTAGTGGGTTGGAGACAGATTAAAACTCTGGCTTGGATCTTATTTCTCCCAGTTGTATGCAAACTGCGCAGTGGAGCATTGGCCCACCCTGCTCTTCAAATGCTCCACCCCAGGGGCCCATAACTAAGCTTTGGTTTGTGTTGCCTACAACATATACTACACATACTCCCCCTAGGGTTAAATGTTATAGGCCTCTCTGCCTTCACTTTATCACAGTACTTAGACACTGATTATAGTGTGTGCCAACCAATATCAGGTGAACCTAAGTGTTTTAACCCCCCAATTCCCACCCCGTACAATCTTGTTGGTTATTCAAAATGCTCACTCTCAGGGGACATTGATAAATAGAACTTTGCTAAGTACCATTCATTCCACTGGCATCCTACTATTTGATGCATGCAAGGCGATTTCCGGTAGTAGAAAACCTTGGAATGTGTGTGGTAACCTTAAATGGGAACGAACTTATGTGTTCAATGACAAATATTTATGCCCTAGTAAAAGATCTACGGATGCTGATTGTCCAAATACGGACTTCAACTTCTGCCCATATTGGTCATGTGTAGGTTGGGCGACCTGGGGAAAGACAGTAGACCAAGATATGATCCAAAGGTTGCCTACTACATCTTATTGTAAAACGATGGAGTGTTATCCAGTACACATGACAATTTACAATCCGTAGCAGTTCATTTATACGTTTGAGAATCTTTTTTGGTTCCAAATATACGGTACAGGAACAGATCCAGGAGCCATAATATATGTAGGCCTTGAAACCGAGACCATGAATGCTCAAACTCATCAGGTATTCCATTCCTTTTATGAGGAAATGTGTATTGAGGATAAAGTTCCCCACAACGTTAAAAACCTATTTATTGATTTGGCTTAGAGTATTGCAAGTAGTCTTAATATAACTAACTGCTTTGTATGTGGAAGTACAAACATGGGAGATCAATGGCCATGGGAGGCAAGAGAAGTATGGTACCCAGGTTCTGAGACAAATGAGCAACAGATGCCTTCCCAATCTAGCCATCAAGTAAGTACACGGGAAAAATCGGAATGGCAATTAAAAACATCTCTAATAGGTCATGTATGTTTAGCTAGTGGAGGCCCAATGTATAATACACCTGTTGGCGAGTTGACTTGTTTAGGACAGAAGGCCTATAATGCTAGTACCCAGAATACTACTTGGTGGTCGGCTTCAAATGTCTCAGAGCCTACTAATCCTTTTGCTAATTACACCAATTTAAGAGAGGTATGGTTTGATCTATCGGCTACATCTAACTGGAGAGCCCCAGAGAATCTATACTGGATTTGTGGTAAGAAAGCATACTCAGCATTACCACAAGATTGGGAGGGGGCATGTGTGCTAGGTATGCTCAAATCATCCTTCTTCTTGTTACCAATCAAAACGGGAGAGACCTTGGGAGTTAAGGTTTATGTAAATCATAGAAAGAAACGAGCATCATTAAACGTAGGTAATTGGGAAGATGATGAATGGCCACCTCAGCGAATTATTAATTATTATGGACCTGCTACCTGGGCTGAAGATGGCACTTATGGTTATCGAACCCCCATACATATGCTCAACCGCATCATAAGATTACAGGCGGTGGTTGAGATTATAACCAATGAGACTGCTGAAGCACCCAACCCTTGGCAAAACAGAATATGAGGTCAGCCATTTATCAAAATAGACTGGCTCTTGATTATTTACTAGCAGTAGAAGGAGGTGTGTGCGGAAAGTTTAATCTCAGTAATTGCTGTCTGCATATAGATGATGAAGGGCAGGCTGTGGTTGATCTCACCAGCCACATGGTTAAACTGATGCACGTACCCACTCAGATTTGGAACGGGTATAATCCAAGTAGTTGATTTGGGAGCTGGTATGAAATTATTTTCCTATGCCTCTTCCTGCCCTGCCGGATCCCATTAGTAATTTGATCTATACGCAGTATTATTGAAAGTACTATAGAAAGGAAGACAGCAGCACATGTAATGGCCATCTGGAGATACGAACCCCTAGCCCAAAGAGAGATCATTGGTAATTAGGTCAACGAGTGTTGAGAGGTTGTAAAATTGAGCTAGAATGCTCACATGGTTTGTCCTGTTTCGTGGTTACTTGAGTGGTGTTGGCAAATTATGGTTAGTGATGCATCTGGAATTATTGTGTATCAGAAGCGCAAAGGGGCTTGTGCAAGAACATGTGCAATAACTGAAATCACATTCCATTGTCTTAATGAGCCATGCTGCCTACCCATGTAAGGTGATCCTGTATATCCTGTTTGTTGGTTGGTCTAAGGGTATGAGTGGGGGATGCACAGTTAATAAAAAGCTTCTTCCCCATGTGTTCAGGGCTCAGACATTTTGGAACAGGAGTTCAGCTGAGACCCGATCGGTAACAATAAAGACCTTTTACTTCCTGAATAGATCTCTCTGTGTGTGGCTTCTACAGTGTTCCCCGGTAACATATTTTCATTTGCCATTTCAGTGCCATTTCCCCCATGTATCTAAATTCCACTGCAACAAAGCAATGTCCTACTGACATTACTTTACAGAGTTTTGTGTCATCTGCAAACACTGAGACACGACTTTCAATGCCTATTTCGAGATCATTTATAAATATGATAATAGAAACAGTCCCAGAACATAACCCTGAGGGACACCACTTACCACTTTTGTCCATTTTGAAAATGTACTATTAATGACAACTCTACATATTCTATCTTTAAGCTAATCTTCTACCCAATAATTTTCATCTAGACCAATTTCTTTTAGTTTGAAGACTAATCTTTTGTGAGGAACCGTATCCATCACCTAGGCAAAGTCCATGTAGATCGCATCCACAATCTATACTTCTTACTTCTTCATAGAATGCAATTATCTTAGTTTGGCATGATCAATGTTTCATAAAACCAGGATGATTATTTCTAATAACAATGTTCTTTTCAATGAATTCCTGAATATTATCTCTTGATAGCCTTTGAAATACTTTCCCAGCAACAGAAGTTAAGCACACAGGTCTTTAATTTCCAGGCAAAGATTTTGAACCCTTTTTGAATATAGGAATATGCCTTCCTCCAGTACAATTCCTGAAAGAAAAGAATCTTGAAAGATATAAAATAGAGGTTCACTTATTGCCACACTTAGCTCCTTTAGTACTTGTGGGTGAATATTGTCAATTTCCAGAGCTCTGTTTACATTAACTTGCTTTAGTTGTTGCAGCACCATGTCTTAAGTCATGCAATCACAATTTTTCTGCAAGTTCTTTTTTTGCAGCAAGCTTTTGCATATCTCTTTCCAATACGATCCTTCTTAACCCCTTAAGGACAGAGCTTCAGAAGCTTGTCCTTCACTTTGTGACAACAGCATTTTTGGCTGTTTGCGTTCAACTGCAATTTGCATTTTACTAATTTATTGCACCGACACATATTATATATCATTTTTTAAAGGACAGAAAGGGCTTTAATTTGATGTAACACATATATATATATAAATGGTTATTTATTATAAAAAAAATACAGAAATATGCAAAAAATTTAAATTTTTGTGTTTTTTTCACAGTTTTTGCAATAATAATGTGTTCATAATTAGTGCAGGTTAAGGAAAGTAATTAAAAATAAATTAATTTAGTTGTCCGGATTTATAGAATATATAATGTGTCTGGGATTTAAAGTTTTTTTTGGTAGTTACAGGTCACAAAGCACAAGGAGTAAAATAAACTTTTAATGTGGAGCGATTTTAGAATTTGGTATGTTTGTCTTGTAAGTTTAATAGCCATAAAAGAACACAAAATTGTCACACAAAAGTATATATTTATAGAAAGTAGACATCACAGGCTATTTACCTAGGGTTGTTTTGCCACTTTCTACGTAGCCATTTCACCGCAAACCTCTGCTAAATATTGGAGTAAAATTGTGTTTTATTTAGTTTTTGGCACACAAACTTATAACAAAGAACTTCTTGTGTGTATTTTGTAAAGTTGGTATGTGCTATTCCTGTACAAAGTTTTATTTTGTATTCAGTTACATCTGCTGAGTAAAATGACACCCCCATTGTATGTCTTTGGCACTATTTCGTGAAGCTACAGTGCCATATAGGAGACCTGTCCTTTTCAGTACTCACAGTAGAATTTCGAGAGACGGATTTAATGAGCCTATGCTTCCGTTTGGGGTATTATAACAGTTTGACTGTTCAAAAAAACCCACAAAGGCTTACCATTTGTAAAAGTAGACCCTCCAGGGTATCTCATAAGGTGCATATTGTGCCTTAACATGCCCCCATTTTTTCACCAATAAATGCCAAAGTATGTGGTAAAAAATAATTTTGTGCGTTTTTAACATATGGATTGCATTTTTGCTGGACATTTCGTATTTTTCACATGTGCCACCAAGTTCAAACCCCCCAAATTATGTTCAGCTTAGTCTTCTATGTAAAAGGACACCCCGTTGTCTGTCTTTGGCACTATTTCGTGAAAGCTACAGTGCCATATAGGAGACCTGTCCTTTTCAGTACTCACAGTAGAATTTTGAGAGACGGATTTAATGAGCCTATGCTTCCGTTTGGTGTATTATAACAGTTTGACTGTTCAAAAAAACCCCACAAAGGCCTACCATTTGTAAAAGTAGACACTCCAGGGTATCTCATAATGTGCATATTGTGCCTTAACATGCCCCCATTATTTCGCCAATAAATGCCAAAGTATGTGGTAAAAAAGAATTTTGTGTGTTTTTTACATATGGATTGCATTTTTGCTGGACATTTCGTATTTTTCACACGTGCCACTAAGTTAAAACCTCCCAAATTATGTTCAGCTAAGTCTTCTGAGTAAAAGGACACCCCCATTGTATGTCTTTGGCACTATTTCGTAAAGCTTCAGTGCCATATAGGAGACCTGTCCTTTTCAGTACTCACAGTAGAATTTCGAGAGACGGATTTAATGAGCCTATGCTTCCGTTTGGGGTATTATAACAGTTTGACTGTTCAAAAAAAGCCACAAAGGCCTACCATTTGTAAAAGTAGACACTCCAGGGTATCTCATAAGGTGCATATTGTGCCTTAACATGCCCCCATTTTTTCACCAATAAATGCCAAAGTATGTGGTAAAAAATAATTTTGTGCGTTTTTTACATATGGATTGCATTTTTGCTGGGCATTTTGTATTTTTCACATGTGCCACTAAGTTCAAACCCCCCAAATTATGTTCAGCTAAGTCTTCTGAGTAAAAGGACACCCCCATTGTATGTCTTTGGCACTATTTCGTGAAGCTACAGTGCCATATAGGAGACCTGTCCTTTTCAGTACTCACAGTAGAATTTTGAGAGACGGATTTAATGAGCCTATGCTTCCGTTTGGGGTATTATAACAGTTTGACTGTTCAAAAAAAACCACAAAGGCCTACCATTTGTAAAAGTAGACACTCCAGGGTATCTCATAAGGTTTCAAAAACCCCGTCCATCAGTTTGACTGTTCAAAAAAACCCACAAAGGCCTACCATTTGTAAAAGTAGACACTCCAGGGTATCTCATAAGGTGCATATTGTGCCTTAACATGCCCCCATTTTTTCACCAATAAATGCCAAAGTATGTGGTAAAAAATAATTTTGTGCGTTTTTTACATATGGATTGCATTTTTGCTGGGCATTTTGTATTTCTCACATGTGCCACTAAGTTCAAACCCCCCAAATTATGTTCAGCTAAGTCTTCTAAGTAAAAGGACACCCCATTGTATGTCTTTGGCACTATTTCGTGAAACTACAGTGCCATATAGGAGACCTGTCCTTTTCAGTACTCACAGTAGAATTTTGAGAGACGGATTTAATGAGCCTTTGCTTCCGTTTGGGGTATTATAACAGTTTGACTGTTCAAAAAAAAAACACAAAGGCCTACCATTTGTAAAACTAGACACTCCAGGGTATCTCATAAGGTGCATATTGTGCCTTAACATGCCCCCATTTGCTCACCAATAAATGCCAAAATATGTGGTAAAAAATAATTTTGTGCGTTTTTTACATATGGATTGCATTTTTGCTGGGCATTTTGTATATTTCACATGTGCCACTAAGTTCAAACCCCCCAAATTATGTTCAGCTAAGTCTTCTGAGTAAAAGGACACCCCCATTGTATGTCTTTGGCACTATTTCGTGAAGCTACAGTGCCATATAGGAGACCTGTCCTTTTCAGTACTCACAGTAGAATTTCGAGAGACGGATTTAATGAGCCTATGCTTCCGTTTGGGGTATTATAACAGTTTGACTGTTCAAAAAAACCCACAAAGGCCTACCATTTGTAAAAGTAGATACTCCAGGGTATCTCATAAGGTGCATATTGTGCCTTAACATGCCCCCATTTTTTCACCAATAAATGCCAAAGTATGTGGTAAAAAAGAATTATGTGCGTTTTTTACATATGGATTGCATTTTTGCTGGGCATTTTGTATTTTTAACATTTGCCACTAAGTTCCTTAGGCAAAAAAGTGACCTGCCTCCATTCTTCTGCTAGGCTCCTCTGATGGTCTCCTTGTGTGGCACTCAAGTAGCCCAGAAATGAAGTTAAACTGGAACGAAAGAAAAGGGGTTTTGTTTTTTAGGGGTTGGTGGAATCTTAAAGCAGAAGTGACCTGCCTCCATTCTTCTGCTAGGCTCCACTGATGGTCTCCTTGTGTGGCACTCAAGTAGCCCAGAAATGAAGTTAAACTGGAACGAAAGAAAAGTGATATTCAGCCCAGCATTTGCCTTTTTGAAAATGACAAATGCATTGTGTATTGCCATCTGCATCAGATATAGTTTCAATGAATGTCAATGGACTGCGTTAGTTGCAAACAAATGATTATATTGTGAAAACTATCAGGACTACGGATTAGCCGTTGACATGTTTAGTGGCAGCAGGGATAGCTGAACGTTTTGATATAAGATTTGTGTAGGTGGGCCTGAAAATAAGGGAGTGGTGACAGTTTAGAAATCATGTCCTGATTTTTCAGCTTTTGCCAGCTCCCACTCTAGCTTTGCCATTCATTCCTATGGGACAAATTGCACCACAAGAACGGCGATATTCCGTGAACCTTTCGGCGAAACGTTCCACAAAGTAATAGCAATCCGATCGGGAACAATCTGCATGTTTTGGTAAATTTTTGTCTATGTAGTGTAAAAACTGTGGGAGGAGTTAGGGTGGCAAATTTGGCTATAATAATAATAATATATATGTGAGATAACAATAAGTGGTCTTGCTATGCAAGAACACTTAATTAGCTATTCCTCAGGGACACAACGTAGCACCGATTCGTCTCTCTACACTTCACAAACCCACAAGAGGTGGAGGGAGGCGGATCAGATGTCCCAGCAGCATTGTGACCACTGTGACTGGCTGTCACAGCGATCACATGGGCTGGGACATCGCGATTTGCTGTTGCTGGTCTGCCCCAGACTCGGAGGCACCCAGCAACAGCATTAACCCCGCGATTGCCGGCACCGCGGCGATCAGGTGTTAATTTTAACGAGTGATGGACGAGGCCGTCACTCGTCATTAACGCTTTCCTCTGAGTGACGGACCTTGTCCGTCACTCGTCCTTAAGGGGTTAATTTATACTGAGGAAAAACAGTTATTCAAAATTTCTGCCCTTTTCTGGTCTTCATTAACACACATCTCTGTTTTCAGACTATGTACACTTTCTTTTTTGGGGTTGGTTTTGCTCTCTTGGGCTATCACTTTCTCATTTTCTAGTTTAGACACTTTAATTGCATTATTGACTTCCTTATAACTTATACTTAAAATTGATTTATCCGATTTAAATTTTTTTTTATATTTATTCAAATTTTTCATATAAAATACATACAAATTTCAAACAATTCAAGAAGTAAACAAGTCATATATTCTACAGACATACTTAAACTTATCCTGTTTATACACTATAATCTTAGTTAAGTATCAGTGATGTATATCAGACAACAAGCATAAACAAGATATAAACAATCAAATAATTGTACAAACATTTACATTCACACAATCAGAGCGGGTATACATTCTCAAATTTGGTATAGAGATAGTTATTAGTTTAGGGTTAATCTATACTGTTTGTAATTTATACAGCCATTTTTCATATATATCTCTTTTGTTGACTGAATTAATATGGTTATTTAAAAGATATTTTTCCATGGATAGTTGAAATTTGATTTCATTTGTGAGATGAATTTTTTGAAAAGGAAGCGAAGATCTCCAATTCCTGGCAATTAATATCTTGGATGCAACAAAGCAATGTACCGCTAAGCATATATCATTGTTTGTTTTAAGATTCCACTTTATGTGGAGCAGGGTCGTTGCCGGGCTTCTCTTGATCTTACTATTTGATGTATATAAAATACCCAGGACCATAATAATTAAATTATCGGGCATGACCACCAAATGTGGGTATATGAACCTATTACACTTCTACATCTCCAACATGTGGGGTCATATCCTTGGTGCATCCTAGTTATTCTCATAGGAGTTAAGTACCATTTATACATCACCTTAAAGTGGCACTCAACTAAATTTAGGCAATGAATGTTTTTATGTACTTGAGCTAAGGATAAGAACCATTCTTTATCAAGTATTATTATGTCCAAGTCTTTTTCCCATGATTTTATTATTTTTCCAGAGTCCTCGTTTAGGACCTCTATGATCTGGTTTGCTTTAGAGGTAACTTACTTTATCGATTTATAATCAAAAATCCTTTCCACTTTACTCGTAACATTTAGAGAGGATTTCATTGTATTTACTTCTATAAAATTTTTAATACTTAAGTAAGTGAAAATCTCTTTATTAGGGATTTGGAACTTGTCCATAATATCTTGAAATTAAATCAATTTATCCCCTTTTAATATTTCTGATAATCTACTCAGATTTTTATTTGGCCAGTTTCTCAGTGATAAGTCTTCCATATTTTGTTCTAAATGCTTAGTCTACAAGATTTGGTATAGATTGTGTAATTCCCAGGGCTTTTTTAATTTCTTCCCACGCTTGTACTGTCTAGGAAAGAACTGTGGATTTCGTAAGAATATGATCAGTATGTTTTTTACTACTGTTGTTTTTAATTGCCGATTTAAATGTTTTAAATGACCTTTTCTTATTTTTAATATCATTGTTTACTTTCCAACTAAGCCGCATTGGTCCCAATTAGTTTTTTTTATATTTATTACCAAATTGTATATACTGAGAAATGTACCTTTCTAATATTTGTTTGAAGATATCAGAGTTATCATCAGTGCTTTTTTTAAATGTTGGTCAAAAGATCAACATTGTTATAACCAGATCCAAACAAGCGTCCTTTCTAGTTCGTGCTTGTACCAGTTGTGACATGAAGGTATCATTTAACACGTCCAAGGAGCTTACCTACTAGTCCCTCAATCACAATTTTTGTCCGGGTTAATAAAAATCTCCAATAATTAACGTCTTACCCAAACGTGCAGCATTCCTCATTTGTTCTTACAGCTGTTCTTCCTCATCAATGTTAACATTACACAACCAAAAAACAAACACGAGTCCTGCGCATCCAGTATAGGTGTGCACACCCAGGTGCTACCACAATTTATTTGAGGACAAAGTAAAAAAAGAGCAAATGTTTCGAGCAGCAGCCCTTTCTCAATGCTAATGTCCTACAGTAAATGCAAGATAACAATATATACAAAAAATAGTGCTTATATAACCCAGGTAATCAAATCTAGAAGCAGGATCAGATGTGCAGTACATTTCCATCACTCTGGCATGTTTGATGATTCCAATCACTTCCTGGATCGGCAGAAATGTGTGTGATAAATTCATCTGGAAATAATAGCAAGACAGCATTTTAAGCTATCGAAACAACACAAACATCAGCAAGTGATGGAAAAAACACACTTATGACCATCAAAGTAATCAAAGCAACGTTGATTACTATAATAAACAAATACTTGAGCACAAATACATTCCTAAAGCATGTTTATAAAGATACAATTATGTTTATGCTTAAATCTGCAAGCACTAAGGCATATATACAATTACAATATATATGTGCACTTAGAGGAACCAGTTCGACTCAAGCTTCTTATTGAGACCATGAGGTGACACTTTATCCAGGAGGTGCATCCAGCGAACTTCTTTTTGCAACAGTATTTTTTCTCTATTCCCTCCTCTCGTGAGTGGGGTACCCTTTCCAATATTTGGTAGCATAGTTGAGAAGCATTATGTCTATTTTCTCTAAAGTGTCGCGCAACTGGAGTATCCTTAAGGGGTTAATTATCCCACTGCAATTATTGCAGCTCAAACAGGGATATGTTCCATGAACAGGTTTGGAGATAAACGTCTGTTTCTTTGTGGTCAGAGAGTCAGCCCTAACTACCATGTCTCTTATTGCTTATTAGCAAATATTGGGGAATTTTGAAAGAGATGTCCTGTGTGTTTGTCAGATTGCAATATAAACCTCTGTATGATCTTTTGTGTTTGAGGTGTAAGTGGTGAAAAGGTACTTACAAATGGGATTCTATCCTGTTTGGGTCTGTCAGTTGTAGAGAGCAGCTCTTCACGGTTCATACCCAGAGCCTTGCGTTTGGCCTTTCGTGATACCCCTTATCCAGAAATTTTTTTGAAAAGTCAGTCAGACGTTCATTCACTATGTTGTCATCACTAACAATTCGACGAACTCTCAGGAACTGGCTGCATGGGATAGAACAAATCTGCTTAGGAGCATGAAAACTATTCTTATGTAGCAGACTATTATAACCTGTAGGTTTAGTATATAACTCAGTGCACAGGGATCCATCATGCTTGCCAACTAGTACATCCAAAAAACTCACAGCAACAGTGCTAGTAGTAGTAGTAAACCGGATGTCCCTATGGCACTGATTTAAAAAGGCAAGAAAGGTATCAAGGTCAGTCTGGGTACCATGCCAGAGTAAAAAGCAGTCAAGGATGTACCGTAACCACTTCCTGGCATGCAAAATAAAAAGCTTGTGCTGGTAAACAAACCGTTCTTCAAAATCAGTCATAAAGAGGTTTGCATACGAAGGAGCCATATTGGCCCCCATCGCAGTGCCTTTAACCTGTTCATACAATATTGACAAGTACCGGAATAAATGTTTTCTCAGAACAATCTCAAGCAGTTTAATTACAAAATTACACAAGTTCATGTATACAAGGACAGAGGAGATTTTGTCACGTATTATCCTCAGACCTTCGTCCTTGGGTACAGTGGTATAGAGACTGGACAAATTTAGTGTCACCGGTAAGTCTGTAGGGTCAACTGGTAGATAACGAATTTTTTGTAGAAAATCTTTAGTGTCTTTAATATAAGACATGCCAGAGGTCACTAGGGGTTGCAGAAACTGGTCTACAAAAATAGCTAAAGGCTGAAAAATGTAATCTGTCCCCGCCACAATGGGGCGACCAGGGGGATAGGGTGCATCTTTATGGACCTTTGGTAATGTATAAAAGACAGGTATTCTGGGGAGCTTGTTAATCAGGAAAACTGAATGTGAATTTGTAATTATTTCCTCTTGGAGAGCCCCCTCTACTACGGTTTGAATTATCTTAGCCACATGTGCTCTAGGGTCATTCTTTAGGACCTTATAATTAGTTCTCTCACCCAACTGTCTCATAATCTCGTTGTGGTAATACTGTTTATCCTGGATCACAATCAGACTGCCTTTGTCGGCAGGTTTGACTATGATATCTGGATTTTGTGCAATTTAATTCAGGGCAGTTTTTTCCTGGAAAGTCAAATTATACTTAATACGTTGTTGCTGCCAGTTCAAATTTTCTACCTCAGAGATAACTATTTTACAGAATGTTTAAATAGAGGGATTTGGAACAACTGGAAAGAATGTGCTTTTCTTTTTACAAACCTCCAGATTGACTGTATAGTTAGACGATGTGCCCGCTGGGATTTCATCTCCTGGATGAGGGCTGTCTTGCTGGCTTTGGTTTTGCTGACCTGAAAAAAATGCACGTAAATTAATTAAGCAAAGGAATTTTTGTAAATCAGTTTTACACGAAAACAAGTCAGATTTAATAGACGGTACAAAATGTAAACCTTTGCTTAATGCTAACATTTGAAGAATAGTTAGCACAGTATTTGATAGATTTAATACCCCTTGTCCTTGTGGCTTTTTTTGAGGGTCTCGCTGCAAGTCTGCAGCCTGTCTTTTTTGCCTGGAGTGCCCCCTGTTGCCCCTTGTTGTGTTGAAGGAACCCCTAAAGAAGGACGTGTGGTGGTGCTGGTAGAAGAGGCATCTGAGTCGGATCCAGTTGTAAAGGTTTCCTGTGAGGAGGTACGTGTTTGTTTTCGCTGGGACTCGGGTCTTGTTTGTTGCTTCCATGTATATACACGGTTAAATTAATAGTCGAGAGTATCCCTTTTAAATTTCCGGATTTTAACAACTTCCAATTCCTTGCGTAGTTTAGATACAGACACTGCAATTTCTTGAGTGATCTTTTGGAGTTTCTCAGCTTTAATTTGTGCAGATAATAGTAATGATATTATTGTGTAATAATCTTGTCCAATTCCTCATGTAAACTCTCAACTTTTAGAGCAATCAAATCCAGTGCACATTTGTTGAGTATCTGATACCACCTTTTGGTGTGGTTAGTATTATCTTTATAAAGTGTAGGTATAAGGGGAACCCTCAGACCTATTGGAATCCGTCTTGCTCTGAGGCATTCAACCAGGGTAGTCTAGTGCAATTTATAATTAATTTCTTTACTTGATAGAGCTTCCAATCTCCGTTTTAGACCCAAGGAATGGTTTATATTGCAGTCTGACAAACACACAGGACATCTCTTAAAAAAAAAAAAAAACCTAATAAGAGAGGGAGATCTATAAGAGATATGGTAGTTAGGGCTGGCTCTCTGACCACAAAGAAACAGACTTTTATCTCCAAACCTGTTCATGGAACATACCCCTGTTTGAGCTGCAATCATTGCAGTGGGATAATTAAAGGGGGGCTTGGCTACAGGGCCGGACTGGGGATACGAAGCAGCCCTGGAAAAAAATCTATGCCAGCCCCATAAGTCATTGTGCTATGTAGGAGGGTGTATATATATATATATATATATATACATATACATATATATACAATTGAAATAGTTGGCTGCACTCTCGGATTTCCTGAAAATGTAACTTTTATTGAAATATTTAAGAGAAGATCAATGTTTCAGTCCCTCTTGTGGACTTTCGTCAGGATCATGCCGAAAGTCCACAAGAGGGACTGAAACGTTGATCTTCTCTTAAATATTTCAATAAAAGTTACATTTTCAGGAAATCCGAGAGTGCAGCCAACTATTTCAATTGCCTATATATATATGTGTGTGTGACTGTCTCTGTGTGACTGCCTGTGAGTGTGTGACTGTGTGAGTGTGTGACTGTCTCTGTGTGACTGCCTGTGAGTGTGTGACTGTCTCTGTGTGACTGTCTGTGTGAGTGTGTGACTGTGAGTGTGTGACTGTCTCTGTGTGACTGCCTGTGAGTATAGGCAATTGAAATAGTTGGCTGCACACTCATGCTTACTACAGACAAGCTCACTGTACACACATGCTCACCACAGACAGGCTCCGACACACCCATGCTCCTTACAGACAAGCTCACTAACACACACACACACATATGATCCCTACAGACAAGCTCACTGACACACATACAAGCTCACTCACTAGCAGGCACACACACAAACTCATTAGCAGGCACACACACACACACACACACACACACAGGCTCCCTCACTAGCAGATGTGCGCACACACACACAGAGGTAGACAGTCACTGACACCCAGGCAGACAGCCACACACACACCCAGGCAGACAGCCACACACACACAGGCAGACAGTCATTGACACCGAGGCAAACACCCACACATACAAAGACAGGCAGACAGCCACACACATACACAGACAGACAGCCACACACTCACACACAGGCTGACAGTCACACACACACACAGACAGTCACACACTCACAGTCACACACTCACACAGACAGTCACACACTCACACAGTCACACACTCACAGGCAGTCACACAGAGACAGTCACACACACACACAGTCACACACTCACACAGAGACAGTCACACACTCACAGGCAGTCACACAGAGACAGTCACACACTCACACAGAGACAGTCACACAGAGACAGTCACACACTCACAGTCACACACTCACACACTCACAGGCAGTCACACACTCACAGGCAGTCACACACAGACAGTCACACTCACACAGGCAGTCACACACTCACACACTCACAGGCAGTCACACACTCACACAGTCTCACACAGACAGACAGTCACACACTCACAGGCAGTCACACAGAGACAGTCACACACACACACAGTCACACACTCACACAGTGACAGTCACACAGGGCAGTCACACAGAGACAGTCACACACTCACCACACACACACACAGTACAGTCACACACACAGGCAGTCACACTGAGACAGTCACACACAACAGTCACACAGAGGCAGTCACACACTCACAGGCAGTCACACACACACAGACACACAGAGACAGTCACACACTCACAGGCAGTCACACAGAGACAGTCACACACACACAGTCACACACTCACACAGAGACAGTCACACACTCACAGGCAGTCACACAGAGACAGTCACACACACACACAGGCACACACTCACACAGTGACAGTCACACACTCACAGGCAGTCACACAGAGACAGTCACACACTCACAGTCACACACTCACACAGACAGTCACACAGAGACAGTCACACACTCACAGGCAGTCACACAGAGACAGTCACACACACACAGTCACACACTCACAGGCAGTCACACACACAGTCACACACTCACAGGCAGACACACAGAAACAGTCACACACTCACACAGAGACAGTCACACACTCACATAGAGACAGTCACACACAGTCACACACAGACAGTCACACACTCACACTCACACACTGACCTCCTTCTTGCCTCCTGCTTGCAGCTCCTGCAGGCTGGTTGTTGTGGAAGCCGGGACTCCTTCCTGCTTCCCATGCTGCAGTCAGCCAGGCCCCCGCCGCACGCTAAGCCCCGCCCCCGCCGCACGCTAAGCCCCGTTAGTCCCGCCCCCGTCGCAAATTTTTTTTTTTTTAAATGATCCCGGCCGGCCGTGTGTGAGCTGTGCCGGCCGGCTGCCCCTGCTCCCAATGGGGCTCTGTGCGGCCGGAGCTGTCAGCCCAATGATCAGGGCTGTCAGACCGGCCCCAGGTGCCGCGGCCCACCGGGAAATTTCCCGGCATCCCGGTGGGCCAGTCCGGCCCTGCTTGGCTATGTAGGCAAGACGATTTGTGCCTTAAAAGATTATGTGTCTCAGCACAAAACTGCAATTCGCAGTCCCACCTCTGATACTCTAGTTGCGCGACACTTTAGAGAAAATAGACATAATGCTTCTCAACTATGCTACCAAATATTGGAAAGGGTACCCCCACTCACGAGAGGAGGGAATAGAGAAAAAATAAGTTCGCTGGATGCACCTCCTGGATACAGTGTCACATCACTGGTTACTCTAGGTGCACCTTATATGTGCTCGCTCCGGGATGCTCCTTGCATCAGGGTATGTGTATAATTTTTGTATCATACAAGTTCATGACCTTGCTAAGTCTCCAGCCAGTTAGTCCCTCTTACCTTCAACATCTGGAATGGCACTCTGTTTTTCACCCCCACAAGATAGTGAGGGTGGTCTCTGTATGTATGTATATATATATATATATATATATATATTTCTGTTTCTTCTACTTAATTGTTATTTCTATACTGTATTATACACTTCACGGGTTGGGTAATCTGTGTAGTTATTTCTGTTCTCCCTGGCTCTGCACATATATATTGTAATTGTATATATGCCTTAGTGCTTGCAGATTTCAGCATAAACTTCATTGTACCTTTATAAACATGTTTTAGGAATGTATATGTGCTCAAGTATAGGAAGTGATTGGAATCATCAAACATGCCAGAGTGATGGAAATGTACTGCACATCTGATCCTGCTTCTAGATTTGATTACCTGGGGGTGGCACTTTTGGGTTATGTAAGCACTATTTTTTGTATATATTGTTGTTCTCTTGCATATACTGTAGGACATTAGCATTGAGAAAGGGCTGCTGCTCGAAACGTTTGCTCTTTTTTTACTTTGTCCTCAAATAAATTGTGGTAGCACCTGGGTGTGCACACCTATACTGGATGTGCAGGACTCGTGTTTGGTTTTGGTTGTATATACACTGTTGGGACTTCAGTGTGGAGTATCTGCAGCTCAGGTCTAACTTTTTCTTTGTTTATATTTTGATATAGTGGTTTATAACATATCCCAACCAATAATTGATTTCCTTTCTTTTGCCCTGAGCAAATATCTACCCATAAAGCATCCACGTCTTCCTCATCCTAATCCATTTGTACTAAGTCATTTTGGTTGTTACTCTGATGCAGTTACTCAGAAATGGGGGACTTAAGGTGCAGGACGTGGGAAGCTTCTTTGTCAGTGGTAGTGGAGGGACAACTTGCTGATTATGCCTCATTGCCCTGCAAAGTTCTTAATATGATTTTTCCCCACAGCCCATGATGATCCATGCTATGGATCATTCGGCTTTGGCGCATTAGGCAATGTCAATAACTGTAGTCTTTCTTGTTTTAAGTCCTGTCTTATCCCTAGGGGACAGGTACCTCTCCCTCACTCCTGAGCGGGGTGTTGTTAATAGTCATACTTTCCTTCAGCACAACTATGTTTTAGTTTGCTGAAGATGTCCATTTAGAGACTTTTATGCTTCTTGCAGCAGGCACTCCACCAACTACCTGGCAAAGAGTTAGTCCAGAGATATTTCTATGTATATACTTTTGTTTCATTTTCAATACCCTGTTTATTCCTTTTCCACTCACTACAGGGCAAGTGAGAACCACACAGCTTCTCAAGATATCGTTTCTGAGCTTAGCTAGAGTTTTTTCCCATGTAAGCTACCATGACACTTAAAATATCCGATTTCCTTTCACCACATCACCATCACCTTTCAGATGTGCTCGACAATGTATGATACTAACTTCCTTCGGCTCACATACAGCTTCCAATAGTTGTAATATCTCAGCTGCGTACTTGATTTATTTTCCTTCTGAGGTCAGTAATCCTCTTTCTTTATACAAAGCTCCATGGGCATGAGTGGTTAAAAACGCGTACTTTGAGTCTGTGTAGATATTTACTTTCAACCCTTCAGCCAATTGCAAAGCCCGTGTAAGTGCGATTAATTCTACCTTCTGTGCTGATGTTCCTTTTGACAATGGCCGCGCTTCTATCACCTTGTCTATAGTTGTCACTGCATATCCGG